TTCCCTCCAACCGGCGAAGATTGGCTGTGTCTAGACGGAAACCTGTGACTACTCACGCGTTGCTCACTAACTCATTACTCATTGCTCCGTTCTTCGTAAGTTTAACTCGCCACTTGATCAACCAGTCCAACCACTTGGGCTAGACGGTAGAGCAACGGTTTCGCTTTATGCAGGTCGGAGTTTAATCCCCGACCGTCCCGATGGTTGGGCACCATTCCTTCTCCCCCCTCTTCCTTCCCCCCGTCCCATCGCAAATCCTTATCCTGACCCTTTTTCCAGTGCTATAAAGGCGTCATGGCTTGGCGCTTTCCCCCTGATAATTCCCTCCCTCGCCACGGTTGAAGTCAACACTCCTTCTGCGTTCACCACAGTCAAACGCATCACTCTGTTCACCAGTCTGCCTCACCACTCATATTCTGTTCACCACACAGTCGTGTCCACCATCGTGCCAAGTGACTGTGTGTGCATCATGTTATCACCGTGCCCACGATTAGTGTCCAGTGACCCGGTCATCAGTGCTTGGGCCCCATATACACATAGACACATAGAGGGGTCCAAGAGATATCAACGACCATCTCTTGTTGAAGAATTATAGGTCGATATTGTCAATGAGAACATACACCAGGGGGATCTTAACTGGGGATATGGATACTAAATATTAGGGAAAGTGGATTCGATCTCTGAACAATTACAATAATTGTGGTTGGATTAGAACTATCACCGTTATCAGTGCGTGTCAAGGCGGGTCCAGTGTTGTGACTGCACAATAACAACAAGAAAAAGTCACACTGGCTGGTGTGTATTTATAATTTGCCGTTTTTTTTTTTATAAATATGAATTTATTTCAGTTGTTGTGTTCCTATTGACACGTTTTGAGGTCATACTGGTCCCTAATAAGACTGGTGATGGTAGTGGTGATTTTGACATCCTAGCGAAGAGGGCTTGGGGGGGGGGGACATATTGGATAACCTATTGGAAGTCTTTAATTGTAAACAGATTAAGAACTCCTGGAATAATAGGTGTATGTTATTCAACATTCTTGTTGATCATGAGAATTGAACACCATAGGACTGTATTATAGTATTAAGGAAGGATACACAACAGTTATGAACCGGAACAAAACAGGAAATGGGTGAGAATATCATTATAACACCTGAGATTGACGTACTCTCTAGCTCCTTACAAATACTGGTTTCTCCAAGAAGGTTTTAACGTCTCAGTTGGGGACCAGTTAGAGGTTCTTATTCTGAGTTCCTTCCTTATTATGGGCCCCTCATGGTCTACTCGGTATAAAACAGTCGCTTATTTTTTTAGACCCGAGTTTAAATCTGCGAGGATCAAGTGACCTGTTACTGTCTGAGCAATTGTGGTTTGCGTCTTATATGACATAGATGAAGGGAAGGGGGGGAGGGGGGGGGAAGGGGGGAACCTGCTAATTCATTACAGTACAACCCGAGGCTTCACTGGACGTCAGTACAACCCGAGGCTTCACTGGACGTCAGCACAACCCGATGCTTCACTGGACGTCAGTACAACCCGAGGCTTCACTGGACGTCAGCACAACCCGAGGCTTCACTGGACGTCAGCACAACCCGAGGCTTCACTGGACGTCAGCACAACCCGAGGCTTCACTGGAGGTCAGCACAACCCGAGGCTTCACTGGACGTCAGCACAACCCGAGGCTTCACTGGACGTCAGCACAACCCGAGGCTTCACTGGACGTCAGCACAACCCGAGGCTTCACTGGACGTCAGTACAACCCGAGGCTTCACTGGACGTCAGTACAACCCGAGGCTTCACTGGACGTCAGTACAACCCGAGGCTTCACTGGACGTCAGTACAACCTGAGGCTTCACTGGACGTCAGTAAACCCGAGGCTTCACTTTAGGTCCGTGATGATAAGAGGATTCCGTGATAGATTCATCCATCCTCCATTTGACCTCCCTTTCTCCTTTTCTCCTATCATTCCCCTTTTCCATTCCGCCTTCCCCCCTCCATTTACCCTTCCTTCCTCTCCTACCATCCCTCCCCTCCACCCATCCCATGAGCCTAGGCAGCATCACAGAGATAGAATACTTAACACGTACACTACGTAACAACTACGATAAATACAAAAGGGGTCCTATTAACGATAAGATAAGAGAGAAAGAGAGAGAGAGAGAGAGAGAGAGAGAGAGAGAGAGAGAGAGAGAGAGAGAGAGAGAGAGAGAGAGAGAGAAAGAGAGAGAGAGAGGTGAGAGAGAGAGAGGAGAGAGAGAGAGAGAGAGAGAGAGAGAGAGAGAGAGAGAGAGAGAGAGAGAGAGAGAGAGAGGATGAGAGAGAGAGAGAGAGGGGTGGGAGAGAAGATACACTTGTACCTTGCCAGCATCAGTCAATATTGACCCGACGATAACAGTGAGGCAGGCGGCCAGGGCACCAACCTGCACGCTCTTTGCCAGGGGGGGGGGGGGGGGATGAGATCAATAATCTACCTGGCTGCCTGTCCCACTCCTGCAGGCTAAGGTGGTTAGCTGTTCAAGGTTAAGAAACGAGAGAGAGAGAGAGAGAGGAGGAGAGAGAGAGAGAGAGAGAGAGAGAGAGAGAGAGAGAGAGAGAGAGAGAGAGAGAGAGAGAGAGAGAGGAGAGAGGAGAGAGAGAGAGAGAGAGAGAGAGAGCTTCTTTGAACGAGCAGTAATGTATTTTCCATCTAATTCTCCTACCTTTTCCCCCCTCCAAAGAAACCAGTCATCATATAATTCGATTTCCCCCACCCCCGTCATGAAGACTTATATTTTGGCCAAAATTCCCCAGATAATGTGATTGGGAAAGAGCTTGTATTTTCTTAGATTTTCTATACGAGAGCTTGTATTTTCTTAGATTTTCTATACGAGAGCTTGTATTTTCTTAGATTTTCTATACGAGAGCTTGTATTTTCTTAGATTTTCTATACGAGAGCTTGTATTTAGATTTTCTATACGATTTTCTTAGATTTTCTATACGAGAGCTTGTATTTTCTCAGATTTTCTATACGAGAGCTTGTATTTTCTTGGATTTTCTATACGAGAGCTTGTAATTTCTTGGATTTTCTATACGAGAGCTTGTATTTTCTTAGATTTTCTATACGAGAGCTTGTATTTTCTTAGATTTTCTATACGAGAGCTTGTATTTTCTTAGAGAGAGGAGCAAGACTCGTTCAGCAGGCCTTATGACGAGAGAAAATTGGATAAACAGAACATGAGTTTGATGTTATAACTCATAATTATTTTATAGTAAGGCCAGAGCTGGGCGGAAATAAGTTTGCATACTTTGGAAACTCAATTAAGAAAATAGATTATAGAAGGAGGAACTTTAAAGAACAAGTGAAGACGTATTTGCAGATTAGTTGCATTGGTCGATGGTTTAAACAATTGGGAGGAAGACTGAGGCCCCTCACCTTGCAAGCTTCCAGTTTACCATCATCCAGCGCCGATATTCATCAGTGACGATGATGGATGCCTCAAGCCTTATGTTGCAAAGCTTCGATTCACCAGTTATCCAGGAACGATATTCATCAAAGTGACAGGGTTGACTCAGGGCATCATCTCAGACCTTACACGTGGTAAATTACTCATCATCTCAGACCTTACACGTGGTAAATTACTCATCATCTCAGACCTTACACGTGGTAAATTACTCATCATCTCAGACCTTACACGTGGTAAATTACTCATCATCTCAGACCTTACACGTGGTAAATTACTCATCATCTCAGACCTTACACGTGGTTAAATACTCATCATCTCAGACCTTACACGTGGTAAATTACTCATCATCTCAGACCTTACACGTGGTAAATTACTCATCATCTCAGACCTTACACGTGGTTAATTACTCATCATCTCAGACCTTACACGTGGTAAATTACTCATCATCTCAGACCTTACACGTGGTTAAATACTCATCATCTCATCGCTGGTGATCAGTCGTCAAAAATCAAAATATATTACATTATAATTTATTGCCAAACCGTTTTATAAAATAAACTCTGTATCTCTGTATTTTCGACGCAATAAACCAAAATCGTCAAAATTGCGTTGCTTACGTAGAAACTAAACCACCGTAATATTAACGTTTTCCCGGCATGGGCCTCGATAGGCTAAGTGGGGAGGCTTAGGCAAGAACAGCTGTGAATCGTGACCCAGGTCACCTGACACCCATCAGTGAGTTATGTGTATTGGGATGAGTTGATCTCACCCATTCTCATTCAGGGGTTAAAGAAATGGGTGCCAGTATCCCCCGGTGATGGAACAGCCTAAAGCTTTGTGATAAAAACATCATGAATTTTAACCATTGAAAACTGCAATGTCAAGTGATAAAGATTAAAAATGGACAATGTGAATATATTGCCGTTAATCCCATATTTTACCTGTTGATCCTGATTACTTTCCTGTTGATCATAACCCGGTTATTTGATCTTTGTTTAATGTTTTTTTTATGAATATGTGATCAGTTGATGATTATTGTTTTATATACGAGAGAATATAACCTATAATATACCTATATAGGCGTTATATAATATAACGCCTTCTGACTCCTGTTAGTAGGCTGAGCGCTTCCGTTTCTGACAGCTCATGGCAAGCCTTACCTTACTTGTTTTCCCACCACCAGATACCCAATTACAGCTGGGTGGAATGGTGGTGAACAGTTAAAGATTAGTGCCCAGTCAATCCTCCCCTAGCCAGCACTCCCCCAAACCCCAAAGCAAATCTCTTTGTGCATACGTGTTCCTTCATTGCATCTCAGTCTGTCTTGGTCCGTCATATCCTGGACTGTCTCTGCTCTACGTTCCTTCTCCATTTGCTGCTGCTGCTGCTGGAAGCCTTCCTGATATTCTTTTACGTTCATGTGTTCCCCTTTTTCTAAAGTCTACCCTCCTGACCATGTCTTGTGATCAATGTTTTCTGTTCGAGCATAAACTCAAATACGCGGACACATTGTCTATTGGCTCCTAGTGGTAGTTGGCTCCTGCTGACCACTGGCTCCTAGTGGTAGTTGGCTCCTGGTGACCACTGGCTCCTAGTGGTAGTTGGCTCCTGCTGACCACTGGCTGATAGTGGTAGTTGGCTCCTGCTGACCACTGGCTGATAGTGGTAGTTGGCTCCTGCTGACCACTGGCTGATAGTGGTAGTTGGCTCCAGGTGACCACTGGCTGATAGTGGTAGTTGGCTCCTGCTGACCACTGGCTGATAGTGGTAGTTGGCTCCTGGTGACCACTGGCTCCTAGTGGTAGTTGGCTCCTGCTGACCACTGGCTGATAGTGGTAGTTGGCTCCTGCTGACCACTGGCTGATAGTGGTAGTTGGCTCCTGCTGACCACTGGCTGATAGTGGTAGTTGGCTCCAGGTGACCACTGGCTGATAGTGGTAGTTGGCTCCTGCTGACCACTGGCTGATAGTGGTAGTTGGCTCCTGGTGACCATTGGCTGATAGTGGTAGTTGGCTCCTTGTGACCACTGGCTGATAGTGGTAGTTGGCTCCTGGTGACCACTGGCTGATAGTGGTAGTTGGCTCCTGCTGACCACTGGCTGATAGGGGTAGTTGGCTCCTGGTGACCACTGGCTGATAGTGGTAGTTGGCTCCAGGTGACCACTGGCTGATAGTGGTAGTTGGCTCCAGGTGACCACTGGCTGATAGTGGTAGTTGGCTCCTGGTGACCACTGGCTGATAGTGGTAGTTGGCTCCTGCTGACCACTGGCTGATAGTGGTAGTTGGCTCCTGGTGACCACTGGCTGATAGTGGTAGTTGGCTCCAGGTGACCACTGGCTGATAGTGGTAGTTGGCTCCTGCTGACCACTGGCTGATAGTGGTAGTTGGCTCCTGCTGACCACTGGCTGATAGTGGTAGTTGGCTCCTGCTCACCACTGGCTGATAGTGGTAGTTGGCTCCTGCTGACCACTGGCTGATAGTGGTAGTTGGCTCCTGCTGACCACTGGCTGATAGTGGTAGTTGGCTCCAGGTTCTCCAGGTTTGGTGTGTCTACTGCCTTTGCTGTTGGGTCAGCTGTTATGGGTGAACAGGTTTCTTGCCGGACCTTTCACTAATTTAGCTGCCCCACGCGGCTCTCCCTCACGCATGGAGGAGGGGGGGGGAGGGTCTCGATGCCCAATCGATCTATTCATGATTTACGTCCTGCCGTGACTAGCAGTTTGGCTCTCAGTCTGAGTGCTGTTGTTGCTGATCTTTACAATTCATCTCTGTTGTCATTGTATTCCTGTGTGTGTGTGTGTGTGTGTGTGTGTGTGTGTGTGTGTGTGTGTGTGTGTGTGTGTGTGTGTGTGTGTGTGTGTGTGTAATCACCTAGTTGTATTTGCGGGGGTTGAGCTTTGCTCTTTCGGCCCGCCTCTCAACTGTCAATCAACTGTTTACTAACTACTTTTATTTTTTTCCACACCATACACACACCCCAGAAAGCAGCCCGTGACAGCTGACTAACTCCCAGGTACCTTTTTACTGCTGGGTAACAGGGGCATTCAGGGTGAAAGAAACTTTGCCCATTTGTTTCTGCCTCGTGCGGGAATCGAACCCGCGCCACAGAATTACGAGACCTGCGCGCTATCCACCAGGCTACGAGGTCCCACCAATCGTGGTGTGTGTGTGTGTGTGTGTGTGTGTGTGTGTGTGTGTGTGTGTGTGTGTGTGTGTGTGTGTGTGTGTGTGTGTGTGTGTGTGTATGTGTGTGTGTGTGTGTGTGCGCACGCGCGTGTTGCCTCCATTGTCAACATGACCTGGAGAGCACCACAAGAACATAACGGTGAAAAATAGTCAAAAACGCTGTGGAGAATAAAGGATAATACAAGAGTCTCTCCTGCATCACGTTTTCTCTTACAATTAGTGACATCTTGTGTCAGTCTTAGACAATGTCCTCGTCGACTGATGAACAAACAAACAAACGCAGGCATATATTACTTAGACTCACTGAGCTTCCCCCCCCCCCCTCCCACGATGCCAAGTTCAACCCTTCCCCAGAATGCCACCCACAACAATGTCCTTGCTCCCAGATACCTATTTAATGCGGGTAAGTGAACAGTCGCATCAGATGTAAGGAAACATGCCAATTAAGCCATATGTGTTCCACCCAGGGGTCTCGAACCCGGGATCCTAGGTTGTGAGTGGAGCAACACCACCACTTTCCCCAAGTTGAGGGAGATAGGTCAGGCCAGAGTAGGCACTGCCAATTCCTGAAATACGGGTGAACGAGGCTTTGATGTGCTGGAGACTGGAGTGCCAGTGCCACTACACGCACTCACAGAGTGCCGAGGTAGTTACCCAGGCCTCCTGCTTCACTCTCAAGGCACAAAAGGCCACAATTATCTCCCCCCCCCCCTCCTCTCTAAGCCTTCCAAATGAGGCCTTTAGAGGGAAATTTCGGCAACACAAACACACACATTAAAAAATAAATGTTGATTCCCAAGCCCAAGCACTTGGGCTGGACGGTAGAACGACGGTCTCGCTTCATGCAGGTCGGCGTTCAATCCCCGATCGTCCAAAAGTGGATGGGTATCATTCCTTCCCCCCCGTTCCGTATCAAATCCTTGTCCTGACCCCTTCCAAGTATTGTATAATCGTTATGGCTTGGCTCTTTCCACTGATAATTCCTTTCCCATGAAGAATCAATAAAAAATAATCAATGATTTCCATTCATATTCAACTACACTGTGAGGATAATTCAATAAAGTTCACACCTGTCCATCGGAGCATAAAGCACGCTCCAGCCCCTCTTTATTTATCCTCGTTAAATGTCGCTTTCGCAAGTTTTTTTTTGTATTGACAGCATCTCTGCAACATTTGCGTCCGCGGGGAAAATATTCCGGCAACAGGGGTTTTTTTCCCCTCCCTGGCCTCTGGGACGTGCACTATCTCCAGGGTGCTTGCAGGGGTTGAGCTCTGGCTCTGTCGGCCCGCCTCTCAACTGCTAATAAATCAGCTTTTTATTTCTATATTTTTTCCACACACGCACACACACCCAAATCAGTTGATTGACGGTTCAGAGGCGGGACTAAATAGCCAAAACTCAACCTCCGCAACCACAACTATGTGAGTACAACTAGGTGAGTACACACACTCTCCAGGAAGCAGCTCCGTAGCAGCTGTCTAACTCCCAGGTACCTATTTACTGCTAGGTAACAAGGGGCATCAGGGTAAAAGGAACTGTTCCGCATTGTTTCAGCCTCCACCAGAGATCGAACCCGGAACCTCGGGACTAAGAATCCGAAGCGCTGTCCACTCAGCCGTCAGGGGGCCCCTATCCTAATATAATGACATATCTTAATAATATAACATAACTAATATGTCAGGGACCTTAGCCTGACATACCTCCTGATATACCTCATATACCTAACAGGCCCCTGATATACCTCAGGTGACCTACCCCAATGCACCTTAGGTGACCTACCTACCTACCTTAGGTGACCTACCCACCTACCTTAGGTGACCTACCTACCTACCTTAGGTGACCTACCCACCTACCTTAGGTGACCTACCCACCTACCTTAGGGGACCTACCCACATACCTTAGGTGACCTACCTACCTACCTTAGGTGACCTACCCACCTACCTTAGGTGACCTACCCACCTACCTTAGGTGACCTACCCACCTACCTTAGGTGACCTACCCACCTACCTTAGGTGACCTACCTACCTACCTTAGGTGACCTACCCACCTACCTTAGGTGACCTACCTACCTACCTTAGGTGACCTACCTACCTACCTTAGGTGACCTACCCACCTACCTTAGGTGACCTACCCACCTACCTTAGGTGACCTACCCACCTACCTTAGGTGACCTACCCACCTACCTTAGGTGACCTACCCACCTACCTTAGGTGACCTACCCACCTACCTTAGGTGACCTACCCACCTACCTTAGGTGACCTACCCACCTACCTTAGGTGACCTACCCACCTACCTTAGGTGACCTACCTACCTACCTTAGGTGACCTACCTACCTACCTTAGGTGACCTACCCACCTACCTTAGGTGACCTACCCACCTACCTTAGGTGACCTACCCACCTACCTTAGGTGACCTACCCACCTACCTTAGGTGACCTACCCACCTACCTTAGGTGACCTACCCACCTACCTTAGGTGACCTATCCACCTACCCTATGAGACCGTCCAGACAAACCCCCCATGTATGCACGCATCCCATGTAAACCCCCCCCCCTCCTTGTCAAGTGTGTGGGAGGGGGGTGGGTGGGGGTGGGGTGGGGGGCTTACATGGGCTGCATATCGCCCTGTCACCAGCAATAGGCGGAGATGCGAACCTTTTTCCGGGGCGTTGAGAGGATTAATTGTCCAAACATGACCCAGGTTACATGGACCATTTAGTAAGCTTTGAACAGCGATGGTTTCATTGTTCACCTTGGTACTGTAAGGTATTGTTCACTGTGGCACTCCTAGCTATTGTTCACTGTGGCACTCCTAGCTATTGTTCACTGTGGCACTCCTAGCTATTGTTCACTGTGGCACTCCTAGCTATTGTTCACTGTGGCACTCCTAGCTATTGTTCACTGTGGCACTCCTAGCTATTGTTCACTGTGGCACTCCTAGCTATTGTTCACTGTGGCACTCCTAGCTATTGTTCACTGTGGCACTCCTAGCTATTGTTCACTGTGGCACTCCTAGCTATTGTTCACAGTGGCACTCCTAGCTATTGTTCACTGTGGCACTCCTAGCTATTGTTCACTGTGGCACTGCTAGCTATTGTTCACTGTGGCACTCCTAGCAATTGTTCACAGTGGCACTCCTAGCCATTGTTCACTGTGGCACTCCTAGCTATTGTTCACTGTGGCATTCCTAGCTATTGTTCACTGTGGCACTCCTAGCTATTGTTCACTGTGGCATTCCTAGCTATTGTTCACTGTGGCACTCCTAGCTATTGTTCACAGTGGCACTCCTAGCTATTGTTCACTGTGGCACTCCTAGCTATTGTTCACTGTGGCACTCCTAGCTATTGTTCACTGTAGCACTATGTATAAATAACGAACCCATTTTCATCACCACTTTTTCTTAGTTATTGATTTCAGACTGATTAGAAAATGCGAATAACATCCAATTACGAGTTTGTTGTGGTAATTGGCATTTAATCCTGAGTAATGGTGATCATTAGGTTCCACTCATTACTCAGGCCGATCAAAGGTAAGGGATTAATTTTGCTGTTCATCGTAGATAATCGTTATTAATTAATATTTCGTGATGAGGTTTTTACACCAAGTGATAAGTTCTTTACACAGTGAAATTGCTAATCGCACCGAGTTCAAAATATGGATTTTGTCGACATATGAACACTGTCTTACATTCTGAACAGAGATATGAGAGGGATTGAACAATCATGTTCAGGGGGATTGAACACTCCCGCCTGACAGCTGGGGTGGACAGCGCTTCGGATTCGCAGTTCTGAGGTTCCGGGTTCGATCCCCGGTGGTGGCGGAAACAAATGGGCAAAATGTTTCTTTAATCCTGATGCCCCTGTTATCTAGCAGTTAATAGGTACCTGGGAGTTAGACAGCTGCTACGGACTGCTTCCTGGGAGGGGGTGGGGGGTGTAACTAAAAGGAGACCTGGTCGAGGACCGGGCCGCGGGGACGCTAGGCCCCGAAATCATCTCAAGATAACTTCAAGATAACCTCACTGATATGTTTCACTCCCTGATTGAACATTTTTTTTTAGATGTTTCCGCATGTATTACTTTCCAGGAAAGATATGAGAGGGAACTGAACACTGTTGAACACGTGATTGTTGTATGAAGTTATTTTATTTAATGACCTGGCTAGCCATGCACTTGTTCACTGATTTATTTCAAGTATTCGTTGTTCAACTGCTAGCGCAAGCAAGTTACTGGAAGGAGTTAAGTAGTTCTCAAGTTATTTTGTATTTTTTCTTGAAATCTGACATTTTTACTTTCAACTTTTCAAATTATTGGAAGTTATTTTTTGAACATTTGATTGTCAATATTGTTATGAATATACAGATTTTGAGTCTTAAAGTACATGTTTAGC